AACAAAATCAAAGGCTGTCCTCACTTGAGCCAGGAGCTCCTGAACTGCTACACCATTAGTGAAAGAGCAGACAGAAAAAAACAAGTCACCTACAAAAAGTGATGACAGGGAAACATGTCTATTTCAGCATAATACCAGGTCTATAATTTAAATTTACCCTACCTGTGTGGTCCAGGAGACCCAAGCTAAGAAAATAACAAAGCAGCCTTGGTTTGGAGAAGTGCCTGGGCTGTCTGACAGAGCAAAAGCAAATCGTCTTCAAAGGGGCATACCCTTAACCCCATCCTTTGAGAATTTTACAGATCAAACAACGTGAAAGTACAAAACTGCTAATAGACTCATCTCAGTGCAAATTAAACAGCTGCCGACCGTCTCCATTCTTTATTCCAGGAAAAAGAACACTTTCCTATCTATGTTAATGTTACCCTATATACACTGGAGGAAACAATAAGATTTAAATGGATTCCCCAGAATTCAGTCAGGAAGGACAGGATAATCCAAGTGCTCAGGAGAAAACAGAAACCAAGTAGGACCACTGTTTGTTTTCAATTACACTCTGGAGATCCGAAACCGGAGAGCATTGCTGACTTCCTGGGAGGGCCAAGAGAATGGATTTACAGCAGCTACCAAGAGGAAACTCGGAACGATTGGGAGTTAGTGACTAAACTTTATAGCCTAACAGGATGATGAGTATAATTAAAGGCATCTTTAAAGCAAGTCATCTGAATAAATGCAGACAGAATCAGTAACTTTATTTGCTACTGAGGTTTATTTTGTGCTAACCACAATATTGAGCATTCAGTAATCTCTTTCTAATTTTTGTTGTCAGTATATTTTATGTTCACACAAATCAAAAGCTAAAGTTCGATTGTTTCTAATTGGCAATAAGCCAGAGAGGACAGGTGACAGGCCAAGTCTCTGAGTTGTCCACTCCACGATGTGGACGCTGAATCTGTGAAGACAGAGGCTGCTCTGCGAAAAACCATGGAAGACAATGAAGGCTGAGAGGACAGAGCTGAAAGGCTGAGAGGGACAGATCAGTCGATGGAAAGCAGGAGCAGACACCAGTCTTCTTCCAAACATTGCCACAAACTGCTGCCTACTGGACACATTTCACCAGAGGATTCACCCCAGTGTCCTAGAGTTTATCTTGCTTCCGGAATACATTGGAAAGTGCCACCCTCTGAACAAATGGCAACAACTATATAGTACAAATTAGTACAAATAGGATGCACTGAAAATAGTAGGCTTATTTCTTAAGCTGCCATCACCAATTCTATCTCTCCCCTCTTTGTAGAAGATATAAATGGCAAATTCTGAATTTATAATTTCTAATACTTCATTATTCTGCTCTTGCAAAGTTCATTTTGAACTTACAACATAAAAATATTAAATATTTTTTAATTATGCACATTCAAACTTGTGTTAATTTGGACTTATTTTGGCTGAAATTGAAATACAGTGAAAGTGCTCTAGAGTAAGCAGATCAGTTAACCAGAAGGACAGCCTTCCAATGGAAAGGGCATTCCCAAGCTGCACCAACGAAAGCAAAATCCTGTTACCTGCCCTAACCTGACAGCTCTGAATTAGTTGGATCCGTACAAAGCATTATATTGAATTAGTTGGATCCGTACAAAGCACTATATTGCTCTGATTCCATAAACTGAACTTGAACTTCCCTTTTTCAGAGAAACAAAAAAAGTTTAGAAATCTGTCACAAATATCTAAACCTTGCTCTTGAATTCCTCCAGGAATTTCCACCTCCTCATGCTGTTACTCTTCACTCTATGATTTGTTTCTCAGTCCCTGTTGACACTTAGTTTTACTCTGTAGGGAGATTCTCATGTTTGACTCCATTAAGCAAGCTTTGAAACTGACACCCGCACAAGGTGTTACTTCCAGAATCTTCCTGCCAACTCTTTGCATCCAAACCATAAGAAAGAGCAAACATTCCTGAATCCCCAAAAATGAATTATTTTGGGTGAGGGAAAGCCTTGACTACGACACTGAAGATTTCCTGAAGAGATCCAGCATCCCAAATGTCCTGAGGTGGGGAGGAAATTGCACAACTAGCAACCAGTGAAAATGAGTGCTATCCACAAACAACCCAGATCCTCCCCAACTACGGCAAACCTGCCCTTTACTTCCTACATCATTGCCACATCTATACAGCTTCCAACTTTCCACAGTTTACTTTCCTTTTCTAGTCCCAAACTTATCCATCAGGTTTGATAAATTCAATTTCCTTGAGTTTGAATCTCAAAACTATTAAAGAAAAGTAAGGTTAATCTTCTATCTCATTGGGCTCCTAAATATTTTAAGAAACATTCCATCAACCACATTTTGAGCTTCTTTACTGCTGTTTTATTCCAGCATTTCTCCACTCCCACCACTCTGTCCCACACTCTCTCTCTCTCTCTCTCTCTTTCTCTCTCTCTCTCTCTCTCTCACACACACACACACACATACACACACACACACACACACACACACACACACAGAACTGGAGTAGATCCAGGCAAGGACATTCATAATCTTACCATATTCTGTTTTCATCAGACTTCATCTCAAGCACTGTGTTCAACTCAGATTTTGAAGGCATATTAACAAAGTGTAGAACAGTGGAGTCCAGAACTGCTATAGGGGACCAGCTGAAGGAACCAGAGAGGCATAACTAGGAAAGAAACCTTTTTAGGTCCTTCAGTTGTTAAAAGTCCCTAGTCATCTGACTATTACAGACAGATTGATTTTAATAGTTCTCAACTATTTGATAACATGTGCTTGCAGTGATGTCCTATGTGCTTGTTCTCAGTTCTCTGTCTTTTTAAAAAGGGAATTTTACTTTATACATTTTGTAAAACTAGAAATATTATTTTGGAAAAAAAGTTTGAGTATTACTTTGATATTTAATGGAGCTGCTGCTTCCAATCATCTGATCACTTCAGAGCTTCTGATAATGTTAGATAAAACCTCTTTATCAGTAATACACTGGAGTCCTACAGCACTACTTTCCATATTCAACAAAACCTCTCTTTGCATAGATGCTTGTGTGTAAAAACACGACATTCATACTGAGGCCAGAGTGCCATTGAAGGTAATTATAGAGACAGCAAAATCCTTTAATGCTGGGAAAAATAAAATGCTGGGTGTCTCATAAGATTTCAGAACCTGATTTCAAACGAATTATAACAAAGAGGAGATAAAATTTAGCATGGTGGACTATTCGACAGGCTACATTTGTAAGTATCAGATTCTATAAAATAGTTGATAAATATAAGACTATTGGTTTGATAGAAGTGACTAGCTGATAAATGGATGCTGATTTCCACAGTAGGACTGCTGGGAGTGTTAGTTTTTCTAAGAAGAGAACAAACTAACTAACACATACTCTTTTGCCTGGCTTTCTATAGTTCAAACAAAACTTACAGTCACTATATAAATGAATCTTCTAAATTGGGCAACAGAGGAAATACTACAGTTTTAAAGTACATTATTTTATTATATATGGTTTTTGTGTATGTGTTCATTTTAAATGTTTTCCATTTTATGTTTAGATTAAAACATATTATAAAATCAGACATTTCTGAATTGTTTTAAAAATCATGCATTACCAAATTATTAGTTCCATTACTTTATTAGTTGTACTGAACCCAGGTGTGATTATAAGGTTTATCTGAAATATTGTTAATCTTTATTTTATAGAATTCTTTTATGTTATGCTTAAGCATAACTATGTACAAATTTCCTGCATTTTTTAAAGGATAAGAAATTTGTGTGCTGCGGTAAAAAAAAAATTGCTAAAATGTAAATTGCTCCAAATTTTACTAAATTTTATGTAACATGCTTTATCATAAAGAAACATTTAAATGCAGACATATGTAAACAAAATTGCTTTAAGAAAATTTATTTATTTTTGTAACACTTTAAGATTTATTTTAAATAATAGAGGAAACAAATCTATTTCTGGCATACTACTAATACAACTCAATCCATTACCAATGCATTTATAATCACCGAGGATTAGATTTTATCAATGAAATGTATTTCTTTTAAATAATCATCAGGAGAAAACAGTGGAGGCAAAATCATTATGGAGACATAAACTTGTTCTAAATACTCTATGCTTAGATTGTAAACGCACACACTAGTTTTACCAAGAGAGTATTGAAAAATAAAAAAGATAAGCAAATTAATACACAATGTTAAGATAAATATAGATTATTTAAAGAAAAAGCAATGGAAAAATACAAATTAAAATAGTACAGAAATTTTTATAATAATAATCCATCAAATTAACACAGTTTTAGATAAAGAGTTAATAAAAAATGGGAATAACCACAATCCAGAATTTATGAGGTGGAAAAATTATTTACTTAAAACTTAAGAGTATTTATAGATATCCTTGCCAAATATGCATTCGCCAGGAAGTACACAATAATCTTTTTGTTTTTGTTTGATTTTGTTATTATTTTATTTTTAGGTCAATGGAATGTTTCCACATATTATACCACCAACATGAGAAAAAAATGATCACTTTCTTTGAAGCTTGGTAAATTTAACCACAATTTAAATCAGTTCTATGTCATGACAATTTAGATCACTCTTTCACTGGAATACTCTTTGTTCCAAAGTGGATTTATAGTTCTATAAAATATTTGAAGTTAATTATTTTTTTAAATTTTTTTGTTGAGATGGAGTCTCACTCTGTCGCCCAGGCTGGAGTGCAATGGCACCGTCTTGGCTCACCGCAACAGCCACCTCCCGGGTTTAAGCTATTCTCCTGCCTCAGCGTCCTGAGTAGCTGGGATTACAGGCACGCACCACCATGCCCAGCTAATTTTTGTATTTTTAGTAGAGATGGGGTTTCACCATGTTGGTCAGGGTGCTCTTGAACTCCTAACCTCATGAACCACCACCTCAGCCTCCCAAAGTGCTGGGATTACATGTGTGAGCCACTGCATCCAGTCATTAATTTTTATTTTTATCAGTGTTGACTATTTTGAAGGGTATAACTAAAGATGCCCTTGGTTGGATTTAACTGATAAACAAAATAAATTTATCAATAGGATGTTTTAATGAAATCTCATCCTAAAGAACATGACTTTTATAAAAAAAAAAAAAATTAGAATGTAGCCTTTATGGAATTACCAAAATATTTCTTTAGAAGTTCTCGATTGTAAATGTGAGAGGATTTCATTCTACCACTCTATATTGGTGTTATTAAACTGTCGATTAAGATGTATTATTTAATGATAAATATTGTTGAATGCAGGATTACAGATACTTCTTTTTAAACCACTGGTTATTTTGCAAATTACTCATCCTCAAACTGTGGATTATATTTTCTAATTTTGTCAGATGATATCCCAAGGCTGCCTTTTCTCTTCTCATTTTAGAGGTATGAGAATTTTAATTTCTACTTCTGAGCATCTGCCTTTCATCTTTGGAATATTTTGTCATTTTTTTTCTCATTGTTTAATCTCCTTTTTCCTTCAGGTTTAAGTCTTGCATGTTCCTTTACTAAAATATTATTAGTGCTTTGGTTGGAAGAGATAATAAACTCAGGTGGTCAATCTGACCTTTCTTACCTGAAGCTGGGTTAAATATTCATGAATTTGTCTCTTAGTTTCAATGTGAAGAGAATTATAAGGATGCTGAGTGGGGGGTTCTGTGATATTCCACAAAGTCCTGGTACATGCTGTTTATGAATCCAGTGTAATCAATAGAAAGAAACGCAGACATGTGGATAGATTTTCAGTCCTAGAAATCTTAGAATACAGGTGGGAAGGCACCAGGCTCTGGGGACTGGAGCAGTCACTGGGACAGTGTCCAGTCTCCAGTCCCATTTCCTAAAGGGCAGGAACAGCAGAGAACTTCTTATGGTCTATTTGTTCTGTGCATAACATATCTCATACACAATTCTGTCACTAAATATTTTCTGCAATTTAATCATTGATGCTTTTATGACATATCTATTTGTATCCCATAATTTAATAAATTTGTTTGACTTAGAATGCTAACCAACATATAAACAACTGCTTATATGTAATTATCAAATCACATTCTAATGTAACAATTTAGGGAACTTGAAGTCTCGTAGCAGCAGATAAGTCAGAAACATAAATAACATTATATATGTATTACTTCTTTTTCAATGTCACCTAATAAGTGGCTTTGACCAAGGGACTTCCACTGAATCAGTCACGTAGCTGAGCACAGTGCTGCTATTAGTCCACAAAGAGTCTTGACTGGAATTATTAAAAAGTAGCCTTTTCACCACATGGAGGAAGCCCCACTTGGCTCCACACTTGGCAAGGGGAGTCTGGGTGGATCTCGGCCTTCTCTCTCCTTTTGGACCAGGCATCTCCATAGAGAGAACAACCTGAGTAACTGGATTTAGAGGGAAGCTGTGGCTGGGCTATCTTCTTGTCCCTTTTTTCTGTAACACCCAAACATCCCTAGGCTCTCTGGCAGCCCCGACCCATCAGTGTGATACATTCACACAGCCAGATGTCTGTGAATCACTGTTGTAGACCCAACTAATTCTGAAGCTGGGACTCAGCCACTGCTATAATGTGTGAACAACAGAAATATAGAAACACGGGAACAATAAAAATTCAGAGAAGGAGGATTTGCAGATTATATGGTGACATGTTGAAGAATGAATAAAGTTAATGGGGAAACCTTGTGAGATCTGAGATGAAATTTAAAAAGAGGAAAAAATGCAGTCTAACAGAATATGTGTTTCCTGGTACATACAAAAGAACTTAGGACTATTTCCTGAGTGGCACTATGCAAGTACCTGAAGGAAAATCAAATATAAAGAAACAGAAAATTTTTGCATACATGCAATTTTTCTAATCTTTACAGTTCTATTTTAGAGAAAAGGAAAAGGAAATGAGTTCTTCCTCCAAAATGAGAATCTGAGGTTTACTTAATACACCTGAGGTCACACAGCTAATAAGAGCCTGGACTCAAGCACATGTCTGTCTGGCTCCAAACCCCAGAACGATTTGAATATACCCTGCCAACTCACAGGAACTGTGGGAACCCCCTAAGCTCTAGTGCAACTTCCAGAAATTGCTTTACCTTCACTGTACTTCTGACCTTAGTGAGTGCTGCATACTAAGACAGTTCTGCTTTTGCCAATTTCATTAAATTTATAAAAGAAAATATGATAACCTGTTAATAGACATACATTTGAGTTACAGGAATCACCACACAAAAACGGTCTGAAAATGCGTACATATAGCTCCAACAGATCAAGTGAGAAGGCAGTGGGAGACAAAAACCATTGTTAAAAATAGAGGGAAAGGAAGAAGTCAAGTGTCAGTAGAAGACAGGGATGACTAATTATACCTACAGAGAAGACATATGAAGGAAGTACACTTTTTCCATCTTTTACTTAGAAGATAAGCTTCGAGCCATTGTGTAACTAGATTATATGGGTGATCACAGAGATGAGGAATCTTGAAACTTGACCTAATGTAGCTTGAAATTTGAACAAATGTAGTTCAAGGTCCAATTACACATTGGACCAGCTACTGACAGCCAGTCAGTGTAACATTTCAGTGTTAATCATTTTCAGGCAGAGTTATCTTTCTAGAAAAAGGTTTTTATTTTCATCACACTGTTATTAAAAGACCTCAGTGGATTCCTTCTAACAAAATAATCTAACATCTTTAGTCTCATATTTAAGGTCATCTAGAACCTAGCTACACACACAAACATATCCCTTTAATAAACTCTCCCTTTTGCTGAAGTAATGTTAATCTGTATGTGCAATCGGAAGAGTCCTAATATGAATTCACCTACTCCCCTTCCATTGTGTTCCTTCCTATAGATATACACAACTTTCTTGTATCTTGGTCTTCCTCACTTACAGTAAAGACCCACATAGAAAATGAAGTCCATCAGACTACATTTCCCATATGCTCTTATCTCCAAACCTGCAGATGAACTTGAATCTACACCTATACTTTCACTAGTTAACAAAGAAATAGTAACTATTTCCTGCATTTCCACTCCTCCAATATCTCAACTCCCACATTCTGAATTGTAGCTCCTCCTCCTTCGGGAACCTGAAATTCTATTGATTCTCCTTCTTTCTTTTGTGTTTTCAACCTCTGTCTATGGTTACCTTTTGCCAACTTTAGAGTCACTCACATTGTAATGACTTTATTGTAACAATGCCTCCTAGAGACATATGCAGGCCAGAATGATCAAATGACAAGAGTCCTGCCTCTCTGTCATTATTGTATCTATCAACATCTTTCAAGAAAGAAAGAGAAAGGAAGAAAAGGAAGGAAGGAAGGAAGGAAGGAAGGAAGGAAGGAAGAAAAGGAAGGAAGGAAGGAAAGAGGGAGGGAGGGAGGGTAGAAGGGAGGGAGGGAGTAGGGGAGGGAGGGTGGAGGGAGAGAGAGAGAGAGAGAATGAGAGAGAGAAGGGAAAAGGGAGGAAGGAAGCAAAAGAGGAAAGCAGGGAGGAAAGAGGAGAGGGAGGGAGGGCAAACTGAAAAATTACAAGCAGGCTTTCATTTGTTCTGGGCTTCATTTTCTCTTGTTTTCTTCCTTCTTGTTTCTGTCCTCCCTGCTCTGCGGAAACCACTCTCAGCAAGGTCATTAACAAGCATCCTGGGAACAAATGTGACATTTTTTTCTCCTTTACTCTCTTAAGCTCTTCCCAGCTTTTCACACTCAATTGGTCACTCTTTCCTTTTCAACAAACTCATTCCTTGGTTTCAGTGATACTGTGTTATTCTGACACCAACTCCTTTTTCACAGTTTTTCTCTTAAAGGTTTGTGTTCAGGAGCTTATAGTGGGCTGTCTGCTTTTCACAGTTCACATTCTCTTCCTGGACCATCTCATCTTTTTTTTTTTTTTTTGGCTCCTCTTATGAGTTTTGTGAAAATAGCCCACCTTTATCTTGAAGCCAAATCTCTCACCTCAATTTCTTCTCTTTCTGTCTCACCTTCCATATCCAATGGGTCAACAAATTCTGATAGTTCCTCCTCCAACATGTCTAAAATGTCTCTCCTTCCCTTCATCTCCACTGCCATCTTCCTAGCCGTTCCTCACCTGAACTCCTGCAGTCACCCCCTAACTGGTCTCCCTGATGCCACTCTTGCCACAAAGCAATTCATTCTACTCACAAACCCGTTTCACATCTTATCATGTCTATTCTGAATTTTAAATCCTGCAATCATTTCCCAGCTCCTTACTGTGAAATCTACAGCCTGGATGGCTTAACATGCTCAGCCTCTGCCCAGCATTACAAGTTCTCCCACCACTTTCTTGCTGCAATAAACATTTTTAAACATGATTACTGGTTCAGTCATAACTCTTTAAGCCTCTTGGCTGTCTCTCTCATTCTGTCTGCCACACTGTAAATTCATGGTAATATAATTCCTTTTTTCTTTTTTTGAGACAGCTCTGTCACCCAGGCTGGAGTGCAATGGTATGATCATGGCTCACTGCAGCCTCAACCCCCTGAGCTCAACCTCCTCCCACCTCAGCCTCCTGAGTAGCTGGGGACTACAAGTGCGCACCACCATGCCCAGCTAATTTTTGTGTGTGTTTGTCTGTCTTGTAGAGACAGGGTCTCTCTATGCTGCCCAGGCTGGTCTCAAACTCCTGGGCTCAAGAGATCCTCCTGCCTCAGCCTTGCAAAGTGTTGGGATTGCAGGCCTGAGCCCCAGTGCTCAACCTAAATTCCTTTTAAGTCCTCGGTGGGACATGACTCACTGCCCCCGATCCTTTGCTCAAGTTGCCCCTCCTTCCCTCAGCATACTCTTGCGTAACCTGCTGGTTTCAGCTCAGACATTGCTTGACTGGGCTGCCTTCACTAACCCCTCAAGCCTAGTTAGGTTCTCCTTCTGTGTGTATTCACGACCCCTGCACTTCCTGTATCCAAGTTCCCATCACATTTTGGGGATTTTTTGTTTTTGAGACAGGGTCTCACTCTGTGACCCAGACTACGGCATCGTGGTGCAATCACAGCTTACTACAGCCCCCATCTCCTCGGCTCGAGTGATTCTCCCACCACGGCCTCCCAAGTAGCTGGGACTACAGGCACCAGTCAACATAACCAGCTCATGTTTTTTATTTTTGTAGAGACAGAATTTCACCATGTTGCCCAGGCTCTTCTAGAACTCCTGGGCTCAAGTAATCCTACCCCTTCGCCTCCCAAAGTCCTGGGATTATAGGCATCAACCACTATACCTAGCTCACCACGTGTATTTTAATTGCTCGTCAGTGAGGACAGGAAGAGGAGAGACAAGGTGTATACCAACCACAGGCAGCCAGAACTTGGCAGATAACAAGTACTCAACAGACGTTTTGAATGAACCATAAAGGCTGATATAAAAAGTCGTATATCCTTAATAATGATCCTTAATTATTTATTAAGAATAATTTTTTATCCTTAATGATTCATTATATATGTGTGTATATATGTTTAGCAAACCATTTCCAGCTTTAAAATGTGGATTGAATAACTCTTAACAAATCTGTGAGTTGTTTTCTGGAAGTCCTGAGTTAAAAACCTTCTGTAACATGTATTGTTATGTAAACGTGTCTGGGATGAATAAACTCTAACTGGATTTTAAAGTCAAAGTCCCTGTGCTCAGAGTAGATAAAACCAGATAAGCAACACCCTTCTTAGAACTCACTCAGAAGGCAGTTTTTTTATTTGGCTGTTTACACTATTTTACTTGTCCAGTTAAAATTAGGCTAATTCTTTTTTTTTAATATATTGAGGGAGCTTTCTAAAAATAAGAATTGTGGCTGGGCACAGGGGCTCATGCCTGTAATCCCAGCAGTTCAGGAAGCTGAAGCAGGCAGGTTGCTTGGGCCCAGGAGTTCGAGACCAACCTGGGCAATGTGGTGAAGCCCCTTCTCTACCAAAAACACACAAATTAGCTAGACACGGTGGCGCATGCCTGTAGTCCCAGCTACTCGGGAGGCTGAGGTGGGAGGGTCACCTAAGAACAGGGATGTGAAGACTGCAGTGAGCCATGATCATGCCACTGCACTCCAACCTGGGTGACAGTGTGAGACCCTGTCTCAAAAAGATAAAAATAAGAATTGTCCCAAAAGAAAAGCCTTGGGAGTTGATGAATTCATTATTAACAGCCTCTAAATGAAAAGATCTTTTTCAAAGACTGATGTTTTTTAAACCTAATTGTTTGATAAATAGTTAGGCCAGATAAGTAATGTCATTTACAAATCTAAGCACGTATATTTTTACAAAATATTTATGAGAAATGACTCATTTTATTCTCCTCTCTACTCTCCCACTGATTGTATTCCATTAACTTCAAGAACCCATCCTTATTTTTAAATTATTTATGATACTGTATATTCCTTAAAAACTGACTCTAACATATAATTATTTTAAATGACTAAATTATACAAATATGTACTATATTTCCTTAGAAAAATGAGCAGGCAGATTTGTTGGCTCTGTAAGATGGGCAGAGACGAATCTAAGAGGCCCCCTTCAAAGTAAGTAGCATTTAAGTTTCTATGGTCATTGTAAAGCATATTTATCAGATGATAAATAGGTATATATTTATGAAACTATTATAACATATTTTGTTCAGAAAGTAAAATTTGCATTTACATGAGTCACTTCACCAGAAGAGCGGTCATGTGTTACTAAGATTCTGTTTTCATTATTTGTGTTTTATACTTAGAATCTATTATGAATAGTCTCTGTTCTTTTTAAAAAACAAAGAATATTGTTTGTGTTAAAATGAGATTCTTCAGTCCAAAATATTCTCTTGGTTCCAACCCTCCACATACGAAATGCCAGGAAGCTTCATCCCGAGATAAAGAAGGTGAGACTGAAGGAGGAATCAAATGTTTGCTAAACTCCCAAGTCTCTTCCTCCATACTTTGCCGTAACTCAAAATGCACCATTTGGATGGGAACAGTGAACAGAATACTGCCTGAGAAGAGGAACAGGCCATTGCATGGGACTTGCTCACCTCAGCAAATCCCAGAGTTGAGAACCCCTGTTAGACTAACCATGAGTGCCTAACCTAAGCCATGTGCAGCCCTCAGTCCTGGCCACACCTTTCTGTATGGTCAGAGCCCCTGGCATGCTTCACTCAAGTACCAAAATGTCCACAAAGGCTTACAAGCTGCTGTGTGGCAGGGAGGAGGAGAAGGTGGGCAGGGGAGAGAGTGAGACCCAAAGCTCAGCATTTTTAATGACCAGTGAAGGCTACTGCACTACACAGGTACATCCAAGGACAAAGATATAACCTGCCAATTAAGGGACAGCTCTTCTCTCTTCTTATGATTCCCACAGAATATCACTGTCAGAGCTTGCATTTCTTCTACCTGCCTTATAGACTCACTGTGAGAAAGGGGGAAGACCAAAAAAACAAAAATCATATTAATGGAAAGCTGCCAGACAACAGTTATTTAACAGATAAAAGTTATTTAATAGATGCTTGGCATTCCTGACCTAATTTAATTTTCATGATAACACTGCGAGAGAAACATTATTATCCCCCATTTTATAGACAATAAAATTGGGGTTTGGAGATTTTAAGTGAGACCAAGAACAGTTAAGTACAGCACTGGGATTAGAACCTGGGAGTCTCAGAGACTCCAAACTTTCTTCATTCCTTTGTCCACAACATCATGGTGTCTTAAAGTGCTTTCATATCTGTGTGGTATCCACTGCCCATCTGCCCAGAAGAATGGAGGGAACACAAAGGAGAACTTCTATCAGGAAAAAAGGCATTTCAAATAATTCTAATAAAGGCACCTGGAGAGCCATAGGCCAGCAATGAACTCGTGAGATCCTCAGAAAAAAATTATAAGCAAAAATGGGGTTTAGTTAAAAACGTAATTCTATTTCCCATCTTTACTCCCAACCATAATTACTCCAATAATCTCTCCCCATAAATCTCACGAGTTTTAGAAACAGAATAATTCTCTCACCAACAATTATCGACCCTTAATTTTAAGCTAACCCAACACACCAACGACTCTTCACTTGTGTTGTAGATTTTATTCTTCTCTATATAATAGGAATGATTAGAACGAACAAGCATGCAATAAACCTTGCCTCGCTCTCCATTTCACTAGATTGAAAAGGTTATTTTAGGTCACTTTTTCTAAAGTTCTAACAAAAGAACAATGACTCAGATATCATTTCATGGAAATGTTTTTTGAAAGCAATCTTAACACAGGACACTGTTAAGCCTCCGCAGTGATGCAAGCAGTCCATCCAAAACTGGCAGGATTCATCTGATTTTTTGGAAAACAAAAGATACCTGACCTTTAAAGACTGCCAATATTTTTCCATGTTCTAAGATACTTTTAATTGCTTTAATTAATCCTCCTTCACTGTGTTAGCAGCGTGCTAATGCTAATGGCTGTTCCAGAAGCACTAATTTTTAGGCTGACTCTAACAGGTATAGCCAATGGACAGTGCCTGTGTCTGTCTATAGCCATCTTTAATTAGTTGTTGAAAGTGGGACAATTAAGAATGCACCATAAATTGAATGGCAATAAACATTTTGGTTATTTCTTTTTTTTTTTTTTCCAACTTTTAAGTTCAGAAGTACATGTGCAGATGTGCAGGTTTGTCACATAGGTCAGTTGCGCGTCATGATGGTTTGCTGCACAGATCATCCCATCACCTAGGTTATTAAGCCCAGCATCCATCATGGTGTCTTAAAATGCTTTCATATCTGTGTGGTACCACTGCCCATCTGCCCAAAAGAATGGAGGGAACACAAAGGAGGACTTGTATCAGGAGAAAAGGTGTTTCAAGTAATTCTAATAAAGGCACCCAGAGAGCCATAGGCCAGCATTAATTATTCCTGATGCTCTCCCTCCTCCCACACCCGACCCTACAACAGGCCCCAGTGTGTATTGTTCTCCCCTATGTGTCCATATGTTCTCAGCATTCAGCTCCCACTTATAAGTGAGAACAGGCAGCATTTGGCTTTCTGTTTCTGCATTAGTTTGCTGAGGGTACGGGCCTCCAGCTCCAGCCATGTCCCTACAAAGGACATGATCTTGTTCCTGTTTATGGCTGCATAGTATTCCATAGTGTATAAAGTTATTTGTATTTGAGAATACAGTCATTTGCCAGTTCACCTCATGAAGCTCACCAAAATGAACAGAATTCCAGAATCTTTCACAACTGTTTTCTAAATGGTAAATGGCTTTGTTTATACTGTTTAGGTCAAATGTAAATTGACATAATACACCTTAATAAAAATTAAAACTGATAGAAAAATAATTCTAGAAAATAAGAAACTGAGAAAATACTAGCTTTAGGGTTACTAATTATATTATGTGAGTGCATACAAATAGGTTTTGTGGGTTAACTCTAAGATTCTAATAGATAAATAGGTAAACACTTGGCTGGTTGCAACAGCAAACAGCACACAACCTTTTAAAAAGCAATTTGGCAATTTCTGCCAAAAACCTTAAAAATGTGCCTTTTTTGACCAACTTTGATTCTACTTCTGCTAGTGTCCTTGTGGCCAGTAACCATGTGGCCATGGCAAACCTTAAACACAGCAGGGCTACATTTGTGTTTTAATGGTGAAAAACGAGAGAAAAATCAATATGCTGTTTGAGAACAATTATGTGAACTATGGAATGCCCCCTTCTAGCATATTTCCCCATCACTATAAGCAATATGGCTATCAATGATTATATATTTGTAATTATAAATTATAACACTATAAATGATTAAGACAATCGTGATGACATAAAATGCTAAGTGAGAGTATACACACACAAAGTATACATACACACATTAAAGAGTGTGATTACGTCTTGATTAAAAACACACAAACACCAACATAACAAATATACAAATACAAACACAAAGAAGACTTTTAAAAACCACATCGAAATACCAATAGTGGTAATTTGTTAATAGGGAGATTATAGGACTATGGCTCTGTATAATAGTTATTCAACTATATTTTCAAGTCTATACTATTTTCATAATTTTTATAATTTAAATAGGAAAGATAACATGTAAAATATCATAGGAAGATAACTTTCCAACCAAAACCACACACGAATGGAATGTGAATATATTTTGGTGTCATTTTCAAGATAATATAATTTTATTTAGTTCAACAAAAACCTTGAGAATATTTAGCCCAAACAGTGCTTTTTGTTTCTTTTCAAAGGCTTACTTTGGAGGAAGTGTTACAGTGGGCCCAGTCTTTTGAAAATTTAATGGCTACAAAATGTGAGTATTGTGCATATGTCATCTTTGAATAACTAGCGAGTTCACTCTTCGAGGTGAAGGGGGGGATGCCAGATGATGAATGTATGCTGTTCTCACAGCCTTCTAACTGGCAACTGACACAGTTAAAAAAAGAAAACCTGAAAGTAGTTTGTTGTGTCAACCACTGTTATTTTCTCTGGTGTTAATTAAAACAAGATTCGTCACTGTGAACATTTATTCTTCACAAGTATATGCCCAAAATCCCTTGGAAAATATGCTTAAACAGTAACACATACCATAGTCTCAAAAACTTAACTAGCTGGTCTTGCTGCCTTCAAAAGTAAGAGTAAGTTTGAGTCTTGATGTTCTAAAACTCCTCCCCAAAGTTTGTTACAACTTTTGCAGTGTTTGATTTAAGTGGGATTATACATGGGTCTGTATATAGCTGTAGGTAAATATCAACATTCACATGGTATAAATTAGAGATATCAGCAATAGACGTGAGAGAGATGAAGTCGGGGCTCATGCAGTAAAAACAAAGGAGGAGGTGCGTTCAAGAGAACAGTCAATTGCATTTGGGGTCAGTAATACTGGCAGGTTGTAGAAAATGATAAAACCAGAAGACCGGTACAGAAAAAAATGTAGGGTGTAGTCACAGAAAATTCTCCTGTTGAATTTGGTAATTTTTTAAGTGGAGTTGGTTCCCGTCAACGCTTGTTAATTTTTGCCTATAGACCTACCTTTTTATTTAAGATCCCATTTTAGCCCCTCTGTGAATATTTCATCTGTTTACAACTATAGACTGTGAAGGAAAGCTAGCTGTACTTTAACTCGTGGGGGGTACCGGTGGCTCTTCTGGGCAAGGCGCCTTCTGTTACTCCTTGGGGGCTGCCATGCTCACTATCTTCTCCTTTCTGCTATGGACTCAGTTGTCATTGCCCAGCCCAGAGAGCAATGGCAGTAGGTGTAGATCCTTGGCCACTCTTACTGAAACACATTGATCAACCATTCTGGTACTTACTTCAGCCCCACCCCTAGGGCTGGATCTGCCTCTACAGGCTCGGGTCACCACCTGAGCTCTCCTTTTTTGGAGCATGCCTTTCCAATGGGCATTGGGGGCCATAGTTTCTTTCTTTGATGCAATCACCACTGCCTTTCACTTTTCAGGTATCCCTCATAGTTTATAATCCAATTTGCCAGCATGAATGAGAATTTAAAACAAACATCTTCTGGGTCAACTTTAGAACACTGAAATGGGATGAAGAGACAAAAGTGTATATTCAGTTAACTATATCGTAAATTTTTGTCCCAATCCTTTGTAATCCACATTTTGCAACCTTGCTAGATTGATCTCTTTCTTGGAGTTTCATACTCTTCATCTGCAAAATGGGAGTAATATCACTTATCCTTTCAGCTTTACTGTGCAGGTGAGATACAAAACATCTCGCTTGATGCCTAATATAGATTAGGCACACAGTAATTGGTAGTTTCTTTTAATAGTAATAAAGTACATGTCTTTGAATAGCATTCTTTTTTCTCTGCTGCCTACCAACAAGTCCAAAACCATAGTATGTGGTACTCTCTACACCCTAACCCAAAACATTTTCTAAAACTCGTCTCTAGCTATGCCCCTTCACACAACATGCCCTCCACCAGTGTGACTGTCATGCCATTTTCTACTTGTACATCTATGATTCTTCTGGCCCAGGCTTTTGTTCAAAGTCCTTTTCATCTCTACTTGCTTGTTCATCTTTGAAAGTAAAATTCAAGTGCCACTTTCTCCAGGATACTGCTTTGAAATTTTTCCTTTGTCTCCTATTTTGTTCGTATTACCATTTATTCTGCTTTTAATTGTAGCTACTTCGTGTACTGGGTTTTTTACATAGTAGCTTTCTCACTAGACTATAAATTCCTTGAGAGCACAGCTTGCCTCTCATTTACCTTTCAAATCCCTGAGAAACTGAAAATGTGCTTTGTAGCTAATGAGCATGTAATAAATGTTCAATGAATAAATACAAAAAAAATTAGTTAGAAAAGATCAAAACAGCAAGCCATATTATGTAAGCTTCTGTGCGAATCCTAGAAGCCTCATAAGCAAAGTGAATAGGCTTAATTATTTGGCAAGGATTTCAAGTGGTTATCTGCCTTGCTAGAATCAGCAATGTATAAATCCAGTGTCATGAGAAGAAGCAAAGGCTTTAGCAAAGGTGAGAATAGGGAGACATCGCACTGCCCTTTATAAACACCAGCAAAATAGGGTAAGAGCCTTTCCAGAAATCATAGTACTATGAAGTTCATGTAAAAATTCAATAATCACATAGTTAACTGATAAACCATTCTATGGATCATCCAGCCAGTAAGATAAAACTAAGAATATGAATATTAAATGTTCCAGAGAATAAAAATGTGTTTACCTTAACCAAGGACATTAGTAAAATGCATTCTTTAGCTGAGATATGCAGATGCATATTTTCACATAGATTAAAACATTATTTCTAAGAACATGTAGCTAAGAAACTCACATGAAAAAGAAATAAATCAGCCTGAGTCTCAATAGATGAACAGGAATTGGTTTAGAGATGTTTGTTGGGGAGCCATTAAGTCACAGTCATCAAAATAAAATTAAATTCAACATCTTGGTGGGAAAGCAGGGTCTAAGAAAACCATCAGTTTGAGAACAGAACTATGGCAAAATCTAAAAGGTAGTTAGAAATTAAGAATGTTAGCAACTTAGACACATTCAAGATATGCTATTTAAGGATACATTATTCACAAATGATTTTTTAAATGTCAAAGATTTTTTTTAAAAGAGTGTGTGTGCCTTTGCTCAATATTCATTCAATAAATATGTATTAAGTACTCTTTAGGCATCTGGCAGTGTGCTTAGGAAAAAAATTCCACGTGCTCATAAAAATAACACACACAAAAAAAGATTTTTTTGAAAACTGAAAATCCCCTAGAAGAAAACAAGGAAGGCTATCATTTTTGGCACATTAAGGTAAAGTAGAAAATAGTGATTAAAGCAACATCTAGTAACACCCTGAATGGAATTCCAAAGACAAAACAAATATATACTTGTTACAACTGGTAGCCTTTGACAAAAAGCTGCATGTAAGGCTGCATATGGGGCCTGATCATCAGTATTTTAAAGACAGAAAGATGGTTTAGAAGAAGTAAGCACAATCAAGATAAATAGGTACACCTTTCAATGAAGAAATGTACTGTGAAATGTTCCTCAGGATATGGTGTGAAAACCAGTATCATTAAAAACTCTCCACAATGCATTAGGCAGAGAGCACCCTGAAAATTCCCAAGTATACAGGTTACAGAAACTTCTCCAAGTTTCCAAACATCTAAGTTTTAAGGAAATAACTAATTTTCAAACGGGCACAGGATTAGTGAGAAGTTTTTAGACCAGCCAGGAAAGTTTGTCTGAGCTATTAGTCATCTTCCCATAAAACTAAGAATAACCTAAGATTATTTATTTGAATGATGTTGACCCAAACCATGGCACTGCACCCAAAAATATGGTTAAAGTTTCAGGCATTGCTAGGATGAAAACTGGAAAAAAAAAAAAATCCTGCGGGTATTTCTGACGGCTTAACATCAGTAGAGATACAGTAGAACTAGAAAAGATACCCAAAAAATGCATCTGAAATAACATGGGGAACTACAATCACCTAAAATCCAAGGACTGAAAAAAAATCAAAATCTATAATGCCAGAAAAAATTGAGCTAGAAGATTCATACCTACATTTATTGACTAAATCACCAAAGTTGAGAATAGGGATTGCCCATTGATATTTGAGTACATTATGTTTCATATAAATAACACGAAAGTTAGGAAAACCACCACTAACTGCCTTGGATGACCCATTCAATCCTGCCTTGTGTCTGGCAGAGGTTCCCAGCACCAGGGACACTGGGGTAAAAGAGGCACAAGCACAAGGTGAAACCCCGTCTCTACTAAAAATACAAAAATTAGCTGGGCATGGTGGTGTGGGCCTGTAATCCCGGCACTTTGGGAGTCTAAGGCAGGCAGATCACTTAAGGCCAGGAGTTCAAGACCAGCCTGGGCGAAATTAGTGAAACCCCACCTCTACTAAAGTAAAAAAAATTGGCTGAGGCGGGTGGATCACGAGGTCAAGAGATCGAGACCATCCTGATCAACATGGTGAAACCCCGTCTCTGCTAAAAACACAAAAAATTAGCTGGGCATGGTGGCGCGCGACTGTAGTCCCAGCTACTCGGGAAGCTGAGGCAGGAGAATTGCTTGAACCCAAGAGGCGGAGGTTGCAGTGAGCCAAGATTGTGCCACTGCACTCCAGCCTGGGTCACAAGAGCGAAACTCTGTCTCAAAAAAAAAAAAAAAAGGCACAAGCAGTCAATGTGCTCAGCTGTTGTGCTCCCTCTAGAGGGAGGAGACGGACACGCAAGCAAACAAGCAGAGGATTAACCCTACAAAGTGAGAAGCGCTTTGAAGAAAATAAAACAAGGTGCTATGAAAAAGAAAGGCAGGCACAAGAGTGTAATTCAATTGGACACTTAGAGAAGAACTGTCAGAAGGGGTAAACTTGGAGCAAAGAGCTGAATGGTGAGAAGCAGCCATGCGGGGGTCTGTGGGCAGAGTGGCCCAAGCAGGGGAAAACCATGTTTAAAGGCCCTGAGAGATGAGTGAGGAGAGCGTGTTCACATCATCAAAAGCAGCTCAACATGACAGAAGCATAGGGCCCCATAGGCCACAGGAATAACCTTAAATTGCAAAGTAGCAAGATTAAATGTGCCTTTAAAAGATCCCCCTGATTCTCTCCTGAGGAAGTAAAGTAGAAAGACTAGCTACAAGGCTGCTGGAATAATTCAGGTAAAATTGGAACTCAGTGAGGAAGACAAGGCTGGGGAATCTGCACATAAATGCTAACAAAAGCCATAAGGCTATGAGACCACTGAGGGGCAGAGTTCAGACAGAGGAAAATACACCCAGAGAGGAAATTTAGGTGTGTACTACTTCCAACTCCAGGTAA